AAGGTGCATATGTTTTTTTTTGGTGTTTAGAGAGCCACAAGGACGAGTGATAAGAATCGATCCTAGGATTACTTGGAATCAGGAGGGGTGATCTAACCACTTGAGCTATCCCTCACTCTCTTTAAAAATGCATATGTAGTATATACAAAGACGTCCACATTACCTCTTGGTATACAAAAGGGTTGGTCACCCTAACCTACATAATCAAGCGTTACAAATACAATTTATGAAAAAAAAAAAAAAACAATCACCTTAAATGCTAATTTAATCAAGCAATTAAACCAAGTCTTTTGATCTTCCTTAACTAATACCTCTTCCCAGTCCTAAAAAATTAAAAATAAAAATAAAAAAAAAGTCCAATTAGTAGATTATGGGAAATCATTGGTAACCTATAGGGGTGGTTATTGGGTACGGTTACCCAATGGCAAAAGGGTCGGGCCTAATATTAAAGGGTTTTGACCCTTTAATTTTTTAATGGACAGGGCTTTGATAGGGTCTTATTTTTTAATGGACAGGGCTTAAGAATTAAAATAAAAAGCCTAATAATAATGGTTAAGGGTCAGCCTTACTTCCATTTTCTCTCTCTTCTCCTCTGTTCTTCCGCTCACCTTTATCTCTCCCCCATTGAAGCGCACTTAGAGTTCTCCATTGAAGCCGCTTTAGCGTTAATAAGCTCAAAATAAGTTCAATACAGATGATTATTAGAATTTCAATAAGAATTTTACAAAGAAAACTACCTGGAGCAGTCGAATTTTGGGTTCAATCGAATCGACTTTTTCGACAAAAATCATGATTTCATTGAAATAAATAATTGTAAAAATTTGTTTATAGCAAACCCAAATACCTTTCTCTCTCCTCCATTGAAGCGCGCGCACTTAGAGTTCTCCATTGAAGCCGCTTCTCAGGTATCATCATCATTTTACGAGTTTAATGAAATTGTGCGGCTGGGATTTGATGATGAATTTGGGCTGCTACGATTGAGCAACTAAGGAAATCAATGGCTCTGATTTGCGATGGTGTTGGAGCTGATGGAGAAGAGAGTGCATCCAAGCCTTTCACGACTTCACGGAGAGGAAGAGAATAGGGGGGGGGGGGCTGATTGATTTTAGGGAATTTGGTTTTATTTTCCTTTTTAATTTCCTTTTATTTATTTTTATTTTCCTTTTTCTTCTCTGCTTTCAATGTGGGTAAAGGCTCGTTAATGGCCCATTTCACTTTTACCTCGACCCTGACCCGCATTGACCTTGGCCCGACCATGACCCGCTAATATATTCATCTTGACCCGCAACCGACCCGTTCCGCTAATGACCCGCACTGACCCACCCAATAACCACCCCTAGTAACCTACAAGAAAATTGTCTGAAAGAAAGCAAACTAATAAGGTTTCAAAATGATATTAATTCCCATATACAGTATTTAGTAACCATTAGGATGATACGAACTAAACAATCCATAACTTACCTCTATGAGGAAATATCCAGAAGTCTCAAATTAAGGACGAATTTACAAAAGAAATCAATTACCTTCAGTGAAATTCCAACAAATCTTTCGAACAAACAATAGGAAATTATATTAAATTAAAATTTTAATAATCAATTTAAATTAAAATTTAATCAATTATGTGTCTTGATAGTATGTTCTCATAGAGGTAGATTGGGGAAGATGATAATGGTGTCTTAAAAAAAATTTTAATTTGTACTCCTGAAGGTAGAGTGGGGAAGATGATAATGGCGTCTTGATTTTGGCAGGTAGGCAGGTTAAGCAAATAATACGGAGTATAATGATAAAAACAGAAAACTGATGACACATGTAAATGAACTTTTTGAGGGATATATTAGTATGACTTAACACAATTTTTTTTGGTATTTAGATAGTCACAAGTACTAGTGAGGAGAATCGATCCCTGTTTCACCTGGAATCGAAAGGGAAGTTTTTAACCACTTGAGTTATAGATATCCCTCATTCTCTTAGTCTCAACACTATTCATAAGAGTTGAGTGATACTTTTGAAAAGGTATGGATATGTTGTTCTGGACTAGTAAAAATATACTTCTTCCGTCCCTAACAAAACGACCCATTTGAGCATTTTTTACGGGTATTAAGAAACTTAAATGGAAAGTACAAGAGTATGGGGATTGGGGAAAGCTAATAAAAGTACATTGAAAAGATTTTACATGGGATTTGCAAAAAAAGTAGAGAGAGAAAATAATAAAAGTACATGGAAAAAGCAAAATTTATTTTTGGCGACCCGACCAGAACTTGACCCGATTTGAATTGACTCGACCCGAACTATCAGACCCAAACTTGACCCGAAAATTAGTTCTAAAAATTCCCGAACTGACCCAATCCAAACTGACCCGACCCGAACTAACCCGACTCGAATTTGACCCAACCCGAAGTGTTAACCTGAAATTGACCCAAAACCCAAATTAACCCGACCCGATCCGAACACGGCCCGAATTTTTGTTGTCCCAAAAGCAACTCGACCCGAACCCTACCCGTTTGCCAGGTCTAGTACTTATAGGCTTTAAATTACTGATTTCGCATTTAAAATAGGAAAAAAGTACTCGTACAAGACTACAAGTTGTTAGAGCATCAATATTGGGGGGTTCTTAAGGAGAGAGAAAAATTAAGAACTAGTTCTTAGGTGAGAAATGGGAGTTTCTTATTTAGTAATTGGGCTTGGGGCTTCTGAAATAAGGAATAGCTCTTAAAAATAAGAACCAATGCTGAGTGGAATCAAATGACATTTGCTATAGTTGTAATATTTGCGTTTTGCATGGCTTGTCTTTTTTTAATAAAGTAACAGGTAGCTTTGATAGAGGAGAATCTCTGCATCCCACGTGGGTCTATATGCATGCATGCATGCATTCTCCACCAAATTACAACGGTTGTATTTGCATGATATTTTGCATGCATTATTTTCTTTTTTCTTTTTTGTTTTAACTTTTTACCAAAATTTATATTGTAAAAAAAAATAAAAAAATATTCACAAAGTGTAATATGTTCAACGGTTACTTATTTTTTGCTCATCTATAAAAGTAGACAACTTCATGAAATTTCACCAAAATCACCATACTCAATCTGTTATTTTTTTTTCTTGTGATAAACTCTATCAAACACTTATTTCTCATTATGGATAAAAATAATCCAAATTATAGATTACCAAATTACTCAACAAATCCAAATTATCCAACAAATCCAAATTTCACAATAGACAATCAAAATTTTCAATATTATCCAAACACTCAAAATTACTCTAATAATCAAAATTACCCCTAGTATCACAATTATCCAAATAATCCAAATTTTCCCACCCAGTCCAAATTACCCAACAAACCCAAATTTTCAAGTAAATCCAAATTTGCATCCATCTTTTAACCATCACCAAAACATGGGGAATAGTATGTCACCTTCATCTTTTGCTCCATACTCCACACAAAATTCTTCAAATTATTTTACAAATATGTTAAACAGTCCAAATTTACCAAATGCCGGGGATTCTCAAGGTGAAGATGCGATTGATCATGGTGTGAAGGTTCGGGGTCCGGCATTTCACTTAGTAACATTAACATTAATGCCATGGAATCTCAAGAAGAAAATGAAGTTGATAATGATCAAGTAACACCAACACCTTCAAATAATAAAGGGAGGAGGATATCTTGGAATAAAGCTCAAGATAACCTTCTAATTAGTGGGTGGCTCAAATATGCGCCTGATAAGATACATAGTGCAAATCAAACTAGTGAAGCATTTTGGAATAATTAAGATAGTAAACTACTACAACAAGCACCGCAACGGGGGAAGGCCAAGAGAACTTCAACAACTCAAGAGTCGTTGGCAAAAAATACGACCCGCGGTCGCAAAATACGCAGCATGTGTTGATCAATGCAAACAATGGAAAAGCGGTGAGTGTACTTTAGATGTCAACTAATGAAGCTAATGCAATTTATTTTTCTGATATGAAGGAAGATTTTAAGTTTGACTTTGCATATGAAAGGTTAAAAAACCAACCTAAATTTATGAATGCATTTGTCTACACCACCGATTCTTCAACACCCTTATTTGATCCTCCTAATTATCAAAATACAAGTGCTATCAATCAATCTTGAGGTAGTGAGGGGAGTGAGAAAAGAGTAAGACTAGACGAAGTGAAAATTTTCTTCGTCATCTGCTAAAAGAACACCACAAAGTGCTAACCCCCTAACACGATCAGGGGGTCAAAAGCAATCAAAAAGGAAACTGAAAATTAAGGCAACTGATGGTATTGATCCTTTGCAAGAAAAACTTGTAAGTATGCAACATTCAAATGAAGAAACTGCAAAGGCGATGAAGGAATTTGTTGAAGTTGAACGAATTAGAGAGGAAAGAAAAAAACAAGCCCAAATTCTGAAAGAAAGAGAACTAAAATATCAGTTACTACAAGCGTTACTAAGTCGAGATAATTTATCAGAGGAAGATGAAGCTCGTAAAAATAAGTTATGGAACGAATTAATGACCATATGATGGCATTAAATATCATCGTTAATTCAATGTAATTGTAGATCATTAGTGATTGTTATGTTTAATTAGTTACCACTAGTGGATGTATTAGTTTAATTCTTAATCTTGTAAGTTGACGTTGTATTGCAAAAAATAATGTATTAGATACTATTATCTTGTTGTGACATTGTATTGTCTTTGTCATATCACCTTTTGTAGGTGATTTATTGATGCAGTCTGTGAACTCTTCCGCTGACAGGAATAGTATTGTACAAACCTGATATGACTGTGGTGTGACATTACATGGTGTGTCAAGTATCTTTCATGGCAGATCAATTATTTACAAGCATTTTATACTTTTCAAATTTATATAACACCATCTTCTTGTACATCAATGTTGTCACAACATACAATATAATCTATTCTCAAAATAATTATGCCTTCTGGTTCAAGTTCAAGTTCAAGCTCTAGGAGCTCGGATTCTGAAAATCCAAACCCCCGTTCATTTAAGTTCGATAAATGGTTCGTAACTGGGTCATGGCAATGCCACTTCGTAATGAAATTGTAGCTGAAACAGTTACTAAGCTCTCTAGAAGGGGTTCAACTTCTCGAAGGCAAAGGAAGAACCATTCTCCCAATCGACCAAGAGATCGCGTTGCTGGTCACAACCGCTTATTCTTAGATTATTTTGCTGAGAATCCTATATATACTGATGATCAATTTCGACAAAGGTTCAGAATGAGAAGGTCGTTATTTCTTCATATAGTTGACAGAGTCCAACAACGTGATCCATGGTTTCAACAAAAATGCACTACAGCTATGAGATTGTTGGCATATGGAGTAGCAACTGACCAAATTGATGAGTACGTCAGAATTAGTTAGGAAAGCTCACTCAATGCCTTATGTAGATTTGTTGATGTTATAATTGCCGAGTTTCAAGACGTGTATTTGAGAAGCCAAATCAAGCTGACTTACAAAGGCTACTAAACATTAGAGAGGTGTGTGGATTCCAGGCATGTTGGGAAGTATAGATTGTATGCATTGAAAGTGGAAAAATTGTCCTACTGCTTGGCAAGGACAATTTCAAGGTCGAGATGGTAAAGCTACAATCATATTAAAAGCAGTTGCATCAAAAGATTTATGGATATAGCATGCTTTTTTTGGAGTTTCGGGTTCATCAAACGACATTAATGTACTAAATCATTCGCTAGTTTTTAACGACATATTTGAAGGACGAGCACCACCGTTGAATTTTGAAGTAAACGGTCCCCAATACAATATGGGATATTACCTAGCAGATGGTATATATCCAGAATGGGCAACTTTTGTAAAAGCATATCGACTTCCACAAGGTCCAAAGGCAAAATTATTTTCACAACGCCAAGAGTCGGTGCGAAAAGATGTTGAGTGTGCTTCTGGAGTTCTCCAAGCAAGATTTGCTATAATTCGAAACTCGGCACTAATATGGAAAATAGAAGTTGTGCAAAAAATAATGATAGCTTGTATCATATTGCATAACATGATTGTTGAAGATGAACGACAAGGTTACCTTCACAACGAAGAATATGGAGATTTTAGTCAGTTTGATCAAGCACAAGATGATGGTGACTCACCAACTAATTATAATGTACGTTGGCGTGCCGATATGCAATCATACCTAAGGAATAGGATGAGAGTACGAAATAGGGAAACATATAATCAACTGTGAGACGACTTGACGGATCATATTTGGGATCGGTTTGGTCATGGTGGTGTTGAGTAAAATGAATTTTTATTCCCTTTACTTTTAATTTTTTATATGTATTTCTTTGTTATGTTTTATTGCGTACGTATCTAATTTTTCCAATTGTTAAGGTGTTGTTGTATGCAAAATTGTAATCTCTATTTTTAGCATTAATGCCATATTTTATATTTGCATTAATAATAATAATAATAATAATAATAATAATAATAATAATAATAATAATAATAATAATAATAATAATAATAATTCTTTTAAAAAAAAAGTGTTGGAGAAATAAGGTAATAATGGAGCAATTATTAAAAGTAAGAGAGAAAAAAAAAAGAGAGAGATTAATATATAGTGTTAAGAACTAGTGCATTTCTTAAGTTACATTAAGGGTAACTTTTAATAAGAATTCTTGATGACGTGGAATAAGAGAGGGAATAAAAATCTACGGAGTACATTATAAGCATTAGTGCATTATTGATGCTCTTAGAGCACTACCGGCAGTGAGGGAAAAAGGCCCTCACGAGTATTAGTTAAGGTGTAAAAAAAAAAACCATTCACCACATCAATGAGAGGAAATCCTCTCATGGCTGAGGGGATTGAAAAACGCTCACGATATGAGGAGAAATTAAGATGAACAGTGCGCTTGTGGGGCCCACGAAAAAATGACGCCAGCGAAATTGGAATAGTGAGATTGCAGCCAAAACGCGTCATTTTGGGCTTGCTGATGCCAAAACGACGGCATTTTGGTTCGAATCTCAGCAAAAAAAATTTAATGTGGTGGCAACTGACGCGTGTCAGACCAGCGTATGGGGAAGCGACACTTGTCCTTGCCAGGACAAGCAACCAATCAGAAAATTTTCCTTTTTTGCAACGGTAATAATATTTAGAACGGTAATATTACCACTATAAAAATTAAAAAAAAAAAAAAAAATTCACCAACGGTTATAAAATTTTTCCCTATATAAATAGAGATGCATTTTGATATAATTTCAAAAACCCAAAAAATCTCATATTCACTAATTTTCCAATCCTCAATTCTTCTTCTTCTTATTATTATTATTAATTACGGTTTTCTTTAAAAAAAAAAATTACTGTCATAATAATTATACTTATAATTATTATTACTATTATTATTATTATTATTATTACTATTGTTATTATTATTATTATTATTATTATTATTATTATTGTTGTTGTTGTTGTTGTTGTTGTTGCTTTTATTATTGCTGTTATTATTATTATTATTGTTGTTGTTGTTGCTGTTTTCATTTTCCGAAAATATAATTTAGTTATTGTTTTTTTAGTAATTGTTGAATTTCTTACTAATTATTGTTTAAAGCTTTATTACTTTACTACTTTATCAACTTATGGATCCTAACAACCCTGATTTTTCGAATCATTTCTCTGATTTGGGTGATGATTTTGTCACTAATCCTCGTTTCCAGCTTTTCCTACAAAGGCTTGGAAACACTTCTTTGCAAAATTCACCACATCAAACACCTCATCAAACTCCTTTCGAAAACACTACCTATGAACCACATTCACCTTTTGTTTATCAAGGGACCAATTCTCAATCTGATGATGAAATGGAAGAACCTGTTCCAGACACTCCTCAATACTCTCCACATCCTCCAAGAGGGTCTGTGAATCAAAACCAACCATCTCCAAAAGCAAGTCGAATGTGGTCTGTTGCGGAGGATGAAGCTCTAATTGGTTTGTATCTTCAATTTAGTGAAGATGCAATTGTTGGTACAAACCAAAAAGCAGCTGCGCTCTGGCGAAAAATATATGTGGCATATGATCAAGCGCGCTCTGAGAAACCCCACATCCTACCGCCAAGACCTTTGAGGAGTTTAGAAAGCCGTTGGAGAAGGATGGCAACTGATTTAATACAATGGAGTAGTTGCTATGACGAAGCTGGAAGGGCAACTGGCAGTGGTTACAACGAAGCAGACCGAATTCATAATGCGAGTAAGTTATTCTATATTTCCTCCAAGCCTACTCCACATAATTTTAATTGTCACCATGGTTGGGAAATGGTTAAAAATGACCCGAAGTGGAGGACAAAACTGAGATGGGCGTTGTCAAGAGAGGAAAGATTAGCTTGCGGTGATGCTGTCGAAGATGACAGTAGCGGAAGTGAAAAGCGGTGTAGAACTGAAGATGAAGATGTTGTTCCCGTTACCGGTTTCATTTCTGGGGGTCTTCCTCGACCTGAGGGCGTTAAAAAGGCAAAGTCCGGGCTTAATAAGGGAAAAGGAGTGGCTTTTGATGTCTCTAACATTACTGAGCAAATGTAGCAGAATAATGCAAGTAGGGAAATTGAGGCACAAATGCGATTGAAGAAGTTGGATTTCGACATGGAAAGGGAAAGAAGGAAGCAAAAACAAGTAGAGCTTCACCAAAAACAAGTCGAAATTCAAGAGAGAAGGCTCAACTATGAAATGCTTCAAGATCTAATGGCAAAGGGACCGGACCTAACTCCCGATGAAGAGGCTTACAAGGAAGAATTACGTGCACTACTCTATGGTAGAAGGAGCATGTAATAATAATCAGCTTAATGTGTTTGCTACTGTTTTATTTAATTAATGTTCAATGTAGTCCTTTTTATTTTAATTAATGTTAAGATGTACTCCTTTTTATTTACAATAATGTGAAATGATGTTTGTTTTTATATAACATTAATTATGCAGTAAAATTTACTTTATTAAATTTGTTTTGAATAATAATCACATGTACAGGTTAATGACAAATATACATCCCAATAAAATCTTCACAACTTTATGTTGAAGAGTCATATCAACTGAACACAAGTAATGAAATAATGACATAGATCATTGAAGAGTCAAATCAACCGTCGAAGTGTCATAGATCACATGCATCAATATTTCAATTGCAATTCAGAGTGCAATGACACATCAATTTCATTGCAGAGATTGCATTGAAGTGTCATGTGGACTTTATATACATGCATGACACATCAATTTCATTGCAGATATTGCAATGATACATGGATTTCAATTCAGAGTTAGTTGATAAATCAGAGCAACTCACATGCATTGATAGTCACTTGGACTATATATACATGCATGTGTTATTCTAAACGGACAGAATCCCAAACAAACCAACTATTAAACCATAGCCAAAACATGTCTTTCATTTCCTCCACCTCAAGCTCTAGTTCTTCTGATTTCTCAAATAACGTTGAATTTGATCGGTTAGTTGATGATTATGCTGCTAACCACCTACCACATATTTTAATTCCCCAAGACTCACCACAAGAATTCCAGCTTAATAATGATATAACAAATGTCCCGGAGCCTAAAAGGGATAGGGAAAGAGAAAAAGGGCATGTGCAACTATATAACGATTATTTTGCGAGTAATGCAGTGTATAACGACAACCAATTCCGCCGTAGATTTCTTATGCAAAGATCTTTGTTCTGTCGCATTATGAATAAGGTGGTTGAAGGGGATCAATTCTTCCAACAACGTCGGAATGCAGCTGGAAAGCTTGGTTTATCACCGTTGCAGAAATGCACCGTTGCAATAAGAATGTTAGCGTATGGCGTAGCCCCCGATGTCGTGGATGAATATCTTCGTATAGGTTAAACAACCTCAAGGAATGCAATGCAACAATTCTGTCAGGGGTTATTACACATTTTGAAAGTGAATATCTACGTAAACCTACAGATGAAGATCTAAGGAGAATCCTTCACCAAAATGAATTGCGTGGGTTTCCAGGCATGGTTGGTAGTATAGACTGCATGCATTGGGACTGGAAGAATTGTCCTACGGCTTGGAAAGCACAATATGCTGGTCGTAACAAAACTGCAACCCTCATTCTTGAAGCCGTTGCTGATCAAGATTTATGGATTTGGCATGCGTTCTTTGGAATGCCTGGCTCATGTAATGATCTTAATGTCTTTTACCGTTCACCAGTGTTTGATGATGTTTTACAAGGTCATGCACCACCAATAAATTTTTGGGTTAACGGACATCAATATGAGTTGGCCTACTACTTGGCAGATGGGATTTACCCGAGATGGCCAACTTTTATACAAGGTATAACACATCCTCAAGTTCAAAAAGACAAGTTGTTTACTGATCAACAAGCAGCAGTTCGGAAAGACGTTGAACGGGCTTTCGGAGTTTTACAAGCCAGGTTTGCTATACTCCGACAACCAGCACTTGCATACGACGAAGATATTCTTTGTGACATTATCAAAGGCTGTATAATAATGCACAACATGATCGTCGAGGATGAACGACACAACTACACCCGCGCAGATGTTTTGAGACGATACTACGAAGAAGATGGACCACAACGTACAGCAGCGCGGCCGGGACCGAGCACAAGTGCCACGGTGAATAACAACGAGCCATTTGAATTCAACGTCGGGCGGCCACCCAACATTGATTTCAACGCATACTTTCAAAGGAGGATTGCCCTTCGTGATAGACAAATTCATTCGTCTCTCAAACAAGATTTAGTAGAGCACATATGGCAGAACTTTCGTCATAACATGACCGAATAAGCAAATTTGTAGTTTGTAATCGTATCGTTTTTAGGTTTTAATACTCGTGTTCGTGTATTGCTTTAGGTCAATCCGCTTTTTTTAAATTCGTAACCGTACTTTTTTTAATATCCGATGTATTTGTATTGCCGTTTATGTGTTCATTTAAAAAATGCGCTTCTAATTAATCGTTTAAGTTACAAAAAACATCTTTCGTATAATCTATAATTGCTGTTATTTGCTTTAGTTTTTATATTTTAATTAAAACGTAAAATAAAAAATATTGTAAATGGTATATTTAGAAATTTTAACCGTAATTAATTGAATAAAAAGACATTTCAAAAAAAAAAATCAATTTTTTTTTAATAATTATTAAATAATAATCAAAACGTAATTATAAAAATTAAATATTACATATTTTAAATTGTATTGGAAAGTTACATATGTAGTATAAACATTATTAAAAAAAAAAAGAGAAACAAAATGGTGATGTGTATTATGGTATAGTAAATAGGGGAGGATAAAGTGATGAGGAGTTTTTTTTTTTTTTTTGAGCATTGGTGTAGTTAAAAAAACCTCTCATGAGACGAATTGGATATGAAGAGTGAAAAAGTGGGTAGAGAGAGATTGAAGGGTTTGTTTTCTCACTGCTGCTGATAGTGGTCCTAGACTCGTTACTGTTACTCTACCTTAAATTCTGTACTAAAAAAATGGGTCGCAATCGTTATCCATCATCATGAGATCAATTCCAGTCTTCCACACAAAAATGGTGATCCTACTTAATCCTTTCTTTCTTTCTCCAAAAAAAACCTTTCATTTCTCGCGGAATATCAGAAAAGGATTCTTTTGGGTTTTAAAAAAATTTCCATCAAATTGTAGATTTCTGTAATTTCCCATAATCCCAATTCTTCTGTAATTGTGTTTGTGAATTTTGGAGCAAATGCAAATGCGATATTGTGGATGCCATGGCATTTTCAAATTACCTACCAATCTCTATAATTTACCTTCTACCAGGTTATTTTTCTGCAATTTTATCTTCAAATTAATGCCCCTTTTTATATTTTTATGGGATTTAACAAGTTAATTTCCTCTTATTTTAAGTGCTATTTGCATGATTTAACCGTTTTAATTATGTAAAAGTTGGGTTTTTTTTTTATTTTTTTATTAATTTCTTAGTTGTAATTAAATACACTGAGAGTTTAAATTCCACTGTTTGAAAGTAATAATCGTTCATTAGTGTAATTTAAATTAGTAATGTGACAACTGAATTCGGATGCTATGTAATGGATAAGGTGTACTTTTATTGTCCTAAATTTTCAGTTGTGAGTACTTTAGTTTATCAGTCATTCACCAAAACATAAATTCTGATTGTTCTTAAATGATTGTACTTTAGCTTTAATGTCTAATTGTTTAGGAAGGAAAATTCAGTTTGATGTGTTAATTTGTGATTCATGGATTTATCATGGTAAATAGTTTTTAATTTAGGATGACAAAGAATTAGTCAAACCTAGTGAGATTTATTCTTATCAATTGATTATGACCTTGTAAGAACTGAAACTTCTGGGGTATTGATTTCCTCGCTTCCGAAACCCCATTTATTTCCATGCTAATGAAGACCGGATTTGGCTGTGACATGAGGTTTTACCATTTTTGAAACGTTTCCGTGTATTCGTTTAAGTGATGCATAGGTTATGACTTAGTAATGGATGTTTATCCTTTTTAATATGGTGAAAATTTAAAATTCTTAACTTTGATGACGGTTTATGTTTGTTGCAATTCATAGTACTCCATAATTTTGATGTATTGTCCTTTGTTATGATTCATTATGTACGATATAAATCAATGATCATGATTTATGCAGACGTATATTGTTGTTTTTGACAATTTTGTCTTTCAGGAAGGTGGTTGATGTCATCCAAGTTATTAAAGACGATTCTACCAATTCTGAAGTAAAAAGGGCTCTTTTAGGAGCCAAAAAGAAGGAAAGAATCAAGTTACCTTCTTACAAGAATGCTTGTGTTGGCGAAATGTATCATATTAGTCAATTTTTGAAGCATCCAACTGGAGTTGAAGCGATGTTGAATGTAAATGCTCTTGAAAGTTATGTACTGATCGATACCAACACATATAGGTATCGTTTGTTTCTTGGTTCTTATCTTCTTCTATCATGCTTATTATCGTTGCGTTTCCTTGGTTAAACTATCACGGTTGGTAATTTTTATTGTTATGTTGCTCAAAATTATTATTTTTTAGTTATCCAGTTGTTAAGTTTGTTTGATGTTACTAATCATTTGGGACTGTTAGTATACTTATTTCAAAAACTCTGGTCTTGTCTTTTAGAGCAATTTTTTTTGGAATAATGCTGTCGTGCTTTTCACCATGTAACTGCTTAATATGACTTGATTTTTAGACTATCTACTCAAATTGGGGCAGTTTTAATTTTATTTAATGTCATCAGCCAGTTTGTTCAATCTTTGTGCCACTTGTTTGTGATAGCTCGATAGGAGGGGACATGATCAGAGTTTCTTGTGCTCTTTAATTCGGTATTTAGGAGAGTAGAGGAGGGAAATCTATCATGCACATTCTGATCTACTGATCATAATGTAAAGGGATCATTATGCCTTCCTATACCCTCCTTCCCTCCGCTTGATGATATATTATTGAACAGTGGTAAGAAATGGTGCACTTCTTTCTTCTCTTGCCTAGTACCGTGAAAACACTTTCAAACATAGGATTAGAAGAGTAAAAGGAGTTGACCCTCTCACTTAATTCTTACTGTTAAGCCTCCTATTCTTAATATGAAGGGATGTTACATCAGCACATTTAGAGTTTTTGGAATTTTGGGCTTGGATAGAAGTGACTGATTATGGTTCGCAACTATACATTGACAACCATTTTTAGCAGAATATGTGGAGGCCAAATGGAACAATCACTAAGATATGGCCTGTTTTGAACTATGAGACGTTTAGTGGTATGTTACCTTGTTAGAGTTTTGTTCATACTAAACTCTGAAAATTCTCTGGTGACTTGGTGAGTTAGTGAATTTATCTTAGCAGATCGGCTTAAAGCACTAATTATAACAAAAGAACCATGGCATTAAAATTAACAGGGAGAGGCTTTTGGGGCCTTATCCTTGGGTTGAGTAAAATTACTCCTGATCACAATCAATTTGATCATTAGAGAAACAATTCATGTTTTGACCACGAAAACAGGAAAAGATTTTATTGCAGCCACCCACTTTACCATTCAAAAAGATCACTGGAATTCTGATGCCTTCATGTATGTCCTTATATGCTGGAAACTTGTGGGCATGACATTCCTATGTTTTCTCTTTGTAGGTGCAAGCTTCCATCAATCCAACTTCTGAACTTTGAGGTGGCCCCTGTCCTGGACTTGCAAGTGACTCCAGCCAGTGAATGTTGCATTGTTGAGCTGTTGTCTTGTAAGGTTAGTTTAAATCTTGAGCTAATTTGTGTAAGGTTCATTTATTTATTTATTTATTTTATTTTATTTTTATTTTTCGGGGGTGGGGGAACTGGGGAAGGAGGTGACACAATTGTTTGCCACTTGCAAACTGGTGGCTAAAAACTTATGTGAATAAGAGAAAAGATATACTGATGCACATGAATTGTATGAGTGTAAATGTATCAGGGGTTTGGATGGAAAGGAAGATTCTCTATTTTTGTGCTTTCTGCATTGTGTTTGTTTCAGTATACTGTAGTGTCATGCTTTTCTACTTGAAAATTTTCTTGGTGTTATCCCGATAAAACTGAAATCTAGCATGATCAATATTCCATTTTCCATGTTCCTTTTTCTGCTTATGCTTGCTTCTAGAAGACTAAAAAGGTGCTTTGCTTTATTTTATTTTTTTATAACATCCTTGAGGCTTTTCCTCTTTCTTGTCTTTCTCTTTAGAAGGTCTTTTCTTCTCTCATCAATAGAAGATATGACCTCTCCAAGAGCAACATCAACCACAATAACAACGATAATGGTATTTCCTTGTTCATTTGACTGATGCCCAATGAACGGGAAGAGCATAGGAATTGCAGATCTGGTATAACTGGATAATAAATGTGGGTGTGAAGGAACACGTATTAAAGAGGATAATAGGAAATAATTGTGTAAATATGACTAGACTATGATGAAATTCCATGACTCTTTAGGCTTCATTCTCAATTCAGTCTGCCATATATTGTAAGGGAAGCTCAATTGCCAACTTGTACATTCAGTTAGAGTACTCAATTCTTGCTTTATGCCTGTTCATGAGCAAAGAGAAAACTTATCTATGTAAAAGCCACTTATTTCATTTTTGTGCATTGCAGTTTGAGGGCTCAGAAATAGTGGAGAACCAGAACCAATATTTCTCAGGTTGGCTTGAATCCAAATCTATTTACTGCGCTAAATGAATCTATTAACATTTGCTGCTGCGCCCCTTCAGACTTTCAGAGGATATCCCTTACGGAACTAAACATATGTATTTGGAAGTAAAATATTAATGAATTATGACTTGCTACATACAGACACACATGCACACACGCATAAAAGAAGGTGGATTAATATCTGTTGGTTTTACCTGTGAGTTTATATATATATATATATCTTCTGGAATAGATATTGTTTTCATTGCTTACTGCAACTACAATTTCCCTCTAGAATGTCGAGATGGTAGGTGCAAAAATTGTTAGCACCCTGGATTTCAATTGACTAATCTGCTATCTCTAATGTCTGCTTTTGATTGCAGCAACCATGAAGAATTTCATAAGTTGGAACATAACTGGTTCAGAATCATTTCTGGAGGTTGATGTGAAGTTGAATATCACTCTTGAGGTCTTAATCCTTTCCTTTCAATACATTTAATGAAAAATGTTCCTATGACATTTCTGTTAAGAAATTTCAGCTGGGAAGGTTATGTTCTAGCTTCTGGAGGTCTTGATCTGATGTATTTTCATCAACAGATTTATGATTAGAGAGTGTTGTATCTTTCGAGTGCTACACTTTGACGGTCATGTACTTGGTGGTTAGGGACATTCTTTTTGTCAAAGTGTTCAATAAATGCTACGAGAATGCTCAAGATTGAACCTTTTTTTTTTTTTTTTTTTTTTTTATGACAGGAAGATTGAACCTTGTTTTAGTGTGATTCTACTTTAAAATCAACTTTTCTGTTCTGTATATGCCCTTCCTGAAAACAAATTCTTTGCTTCTACAATAATATGATGTATGGTATAGGAATTCCTGGGAGTAAATTTGTGTGTGAAAATCATTCATTCTTGTTACTCGTAATGCAATAGCAACCAACTTGATCATGACTTGTGCGTATGAGAAGCAAGACCAGTCATTAAAAGAGAGCCAATTTATTCTATAGTTGTGTGATTTTAACTATAAATCTATAATAATAGTTTCTGTTGACTTGTTGAGCCCCTTTAATTTTAGGTGCTATGTTGCTATTTGTTCTTCCAACTTTCCAAGTACCCTCTTTTTCTAGGTTTATCGTTGATCCAAACCCTAAGCAATACTGAACATAAACAAATCCAACCTTTAAATATTTTTTTGGTTGGTCATATGTATATTTGTTTTAGCACCATAGTATGTAACTACGTAGTGAAAATCTTTCAAATTAAACCGTAGAATATTGCATTCTTCTTATTAAACTTTATTTTATCTACTACTCATTTTTATTGACATTCATGTCTTAGATGAACACAGATCAATTATTATCCAACTGTATTGATTTAACGGCTGCCTTCCTGGCTTTCCACTGGTCTATCAATCTCAAGTGTCAACCAAAAACAATTTTTGTTATTTTTTTTTAAAAAAAAAAATCTCTAATTATGCTAAAATTGTCATAGACAATAATACAAAGTTGCTATTTGTTTGATTAATTTGGGTTTTGTTTTCTTAGTATCAATTTGCAATGTCATTTTTTCTAATTACTTATTCATGATTCTGTTTTTGACATTTATTTTTGTTTGAACACCTTTCGTTCAACGAACCTTAACTTCCCATCAAGTTCTGCAACAGTGATTTATCCCATCTTTTACTCTTTGGCAGTTTGGCGTAGGCTGATCAAGCTATATATTTTTGCGTGCAGATTTACAATCAGCCCTTTACACTGCTGCCTGTATCTACTGTTGAACGCCCTGGAAATTTGTAAGCAAATTGAAATTTCGTTCTTTTCTTTTCATTTTATACACTTCCACTGTTGTGATGTACCTCTCCTTTAGCAGTTATATTCTATATAGTGTGCAACATGTGCCGAATGCATGGTATTTCAGGTACCAACATGTGATGTACCCTCTCCAAGGTCTTTTTGCTGCATCATTTCTATCTTTCAGCTTGATTTGTGTTTGACTTCCTCTGAGTGGATATAGGCTGCCTGTAAGACTGTTTTTAAACAACAATGCCAAAGCCTTAATCCATGGGTATCGACTATCGAGTGCATGAACCAAGAAATTAATGCCTGTGGTTGTCCACAAGAATCCTCATCCTACTTTCACTATTCACTTCTATATAGTTCTATAGATGATTAGATGGTCTAACTTTTAAGTGGACTTTTTTTCTTTTTTTGTTTTTTTTGGGGTTGGGGGGTGGGGGGATAATGTGTTCATAACTTCATACTTCCTCCGTTTCTTATACTTATAACACTTTGACTTTTACTGTATTCATATATTTCACTTTGACTAGCTTTGATATTTTGTATTTAAGAAAAAATATAGTCATGTGGGATCTCATTAGAAACGTCTCCACAATATCAAAAATTTATAATTTTTACATATATATAATTAGAGAGTTTAGTGATTGAAATGATGTGTTGACAAGCGTGAAATGAGAAGTGTTGCAATTTAAAAATAAAAAATAAAAAAAAGGGTAATATTAGTTTTCTCAATGTGAATGATATATATTATCTTGGTATGTGGGTATAGAAGTACTAAGTTGAGGATCTTATTACTTTCGTATAAAAAAAAATAAAAGTATAATTGGCTACTTTAGTATACAAAGTAATTTATACTACTAGTACTACTATTATTACTTTCATCATCAAGAAAAACTGATGACCAGTGTTTACATATATCTTGCTTTTGAACCCTTTGTGGATGCTTATTGAGTTTTCTTCGCATGCAGAGTTTTGCAGGCACTCTTGGACAGGTTTGTTCCTCTTCTCTTGCAGCAATTGTTACAAGACTATGATGCTTGGCTTACGCAACAACGTAGAAATCTTCCGTAACTCCAGGTTGGTAGTTTGGTTTATATAGATGGTATACTACAACCAAGTGTGCTTTCTGGTGGTACTTTCTTGACAACTTTGGCAAACATAATATGATAATTTCTAAGTTCTAACCAATGGGTCTAACTACCTGTTCACATAATAAATGAAAAATGTTTTAAAAGAAAAAATTTGTTATCGGTCATGAGTATCATGAAAGATTTTGTATACAAAACCTTGTAATTATTGGATTTATTGTTTGTTTCATTTTTTAATTTAAAAAACTGTTGGACGTTTATAAGTTCTGCCATGCGTTCTCTCTCTCTTTTGGTTTAGAATGATCACTTATCAGTGAAAAGTTTGACATAAATTTTGCAACCAATGCGTTATTTTGGGTTTCATAGTGCAAGTTTCAGTGATCTCAGCATCCTTCATTATAGAAACTTTATCTACCAGATTCTTGTTAATCAAAGTGCTTTATTTGTGGAATATTTGCAGGTAATCTTCCTTGTTGGCTCAGTTTATTTGTCTACTGCAATGCAAGTTTGTTAACACCGGCATCTGTAGTTAGCAATTCACATGTGGATCCTGGTGGAAATTGATCAAGTTGGAAAATTCAAAGATGGATAAGAATGTACTCGAGTTGCCAGTTTGAATTACAGTGCTGAAACCTATAAATCATATAGGAGGTAAATAAATGTTGGAAATCTCAGAAGCAGAAACTGCATGAGTGATTATGTATTTGGCTGCTGAAATCTGAGCTTCTGAAACAGTGGAACCTGCAGAGAGAATTGGATTCACCAAACTTCACACTAACATTACATTGCTGTTAGATGCCGAGAAAGAGTTACTGAACTGGAACGAAATAACAAAATAAACAAAAATACATGTGAACAACTAACAAATATCACGGATACATCCAATTATCCAAAGCTTTATGTAACAGCATGGCAAAGCTTTATGTGAGAAAAACATTCAAATCCGAAAGGGTGTTGAGTAGTCAATACTTGCAGCTCATGTAATTGATGATCAATCAACCGAAGTTCAGTTGACATGTAAGGTATTTGAAGTTTTAATTTATAGTTTATATTGATATCCTACCTGAAAACACAATCATGCAAGCAGAGGAGCTGCTTAGATGCTTGAACTAGGTAAAGCTCCTCTCAAGTTTTATGGCAGCTTTTCTTTCAACCGTGACCATAACAATGATGCATATCAATGCAAAACTGCTCTAGAACAATTGTGTTATGTTGAATGTACTCTAGAAATTTGAAGTCATCTTTGTTCCCCTGATCTTACTAGCCTATTGATGATAAAACGTTTTGAGCTTACTAGCCAAAAGAATACGGGGCAAATTCTAGTGCATAACTGCATACCACCACCACTTAAAGGTTTTAGCACTAGAGGACTAGACATACCATTAACAAAATTGGACCCTCTGTTCATTAAGATTGCCTCGTATAATAAAATGGATGTGCCAATTGATTTGTCTCATTCAATTTTTTATTTATTCTCACAACTTTACAATTTTACATCTCTTGTGCAACAACAAAAAGACCAAAAAAAAAAATGAATCTTTCATGCTTTTAAATAAAAAGGGGTATGGAGTGATAAGTATTTTGTCGATAATTGCGTTGGCTAACTCATTGCATTCATGACAAAGTCAAAAGCTAAAAGCCAAGCAAAAAGCTATGCCAAACACCCCCAAAATAACCTAAACTTTAGATTATTGTCTTTTGCCTTGGTTATCAAAACCCTAATTGGTAAATCTTAATTGAGGTTTTACCTAGAACTCTTAATTTATCAACAATAACCACTTAAATTACTCCGATTTTGCTCTTTATCAATATATCATCATACTCCAGAAATTTACATTTAATGATGAAGTTTTTTTTTAAGAAAAAAATAATAATAAACTATATTAAGTTCTTAAGAGCACAAGCATTCACAAGGATTATAATCCTTTTAGGTGTCCTTTTACTTCCTTTTCAACTTCCTTATTGATGTCAACATTGCTAAAAGGATACTGTTAGGAAAAGGATTTGCTCTTTTCCTTTTGGTGGAAATGGTGCAAAACCTTGGCTGGTGTGCCAAAAAGTTGCCAAATTGGCATTTTTTATTAAAAAAAATAAAATAAAAAGATGGGGATAAAATTCAAGTGAATTGCTATTCGTCGCTCCCATTTTAATGTGAAGTTACTGTTTTGCCCTTGTGTGAATTTGGGCTATATAAGGCTCCACCACTTTGTCACATAGTTTCCCGATCATTTTAATATTATTCCCGAGTACTTTGACCCACCACTTGCCTTAAAAAAATCCCGAGCCCGAAAATTCCCGAGTCCACCACCAAAAATATTAAATTTTTTTAAAAAAAATTATCAAGATTTAGCGACGGATTTTGGACGATGAACGACGACGACGATCGTACACCGGAGGCATCTTCGGAAGAATCTGTAAGTCGTAGAAACTTTTTTTTTTTTTTTTTGAAAAAGGCTCACCCGCCCAAAAATTCCAAATCCTCCATGGAGGATCCGAATTTTTTGGGCGGATGTGCCTTTTTCATTTAATTTTTTTTTTGTATGTTATTGATTATTATTATTATTATTATTATTATTATTATTATTATTATTATTATTATTATTATTGTGATTATTATTATTGTTGTTGTTGTTGTTGTTGTTGTTGTTGTTTTATATATTGTTATTAATATTGTAATTATTATTATGTGGGATGCATTAATTAGGCAGTGAACTCATTTATGTACGTTGACTCAGGTTGAACAATTGTAGCTATGTAATATAAATCAATAAAAGCAATTAAACAAAGTTTCATCAAAACCAAATATTAAATAAGTCTCCAGTTCTTAAATTACATGCCGAATACAAAGTGCTGTAAAACAATCACTATAAGCTAATAAAAAACTAAAAGACAAGTACTTCACAACCCCATCATCGCCTTCCAGTCAGCTATCAGCTGCTCAGTCATTGCCCTTGTTTCACGCGACATGCTGGGATACTCATCCAGTGATCTTCGGTGAATCTCCAAGGACCGACCTATCCACTGCAAATAACAGTACAACATATTAATTACAGAAATTACAATTTGTTTATGTGGTATTTATAGTATAATAAAACACAACTACTTACATAGTCCTTGTTAGTCCTCTCAGGTAGTTTGGTACTCCCATCTGATGACCCACCAGGAGAAAGACGAGGATGAGAAAATCGGTACAGCCACTGCATGTAACCAGGACCGACCGTAGGAGCTCCACCACCGAGTCTGGTGAAGGCACCTAAAACAACACTGAAAGACGAGACAGGGACAAACCGAGTCCACATCACAGATGTCATCTCGGTCGGAAAGTCAACCCGATACATCTTCAAGTTCGTCGGTCTCTTGGCCTTCTCGGGCCTGATAATGGTCCGCGGAATGTCCTGCACAGATCCAAGCCGTCGGACCACCCGATCAGGCATGTATGGCTCAACGATGCTACGGTACTGGATGCAGCCAATAAATAGAGTGCCTGGCATGCGTCGTTCAGGATCAACTCCGTACGGTAGCCAGTTAACCTCATTGTCAGTCAGCTGATCCAATCTAGCACAAAAAGCAAGGAGGCGCTCCATGCTCTTGTTCGGGCATCCCGATCCCACATCCTAAGCAGACGCACGAGGAATACTAAGCTCCCTCGTCAAGGTTTCCTGCTGAGGCCGGAAGCACGGAAAGTACTCGTAGATCCACGCCTGCAGAAGCGTGAGACAACCGGCAATTAAATCGGCATCTTTTCTTGATGCCGTACCCAACTGGCGATACAGATATGCTAGAGCAACTGAACCCCAAAAGTACTCATAGATCACTAGATCATCAACAACAAGCTCGTTGAGGAAGGACGGATGAGTTCGGTTACCACTCTTGTCCAAAAACAGACATTCGCCCAGCACTAACCACATGTACGCACCGTAATGGACATTGAAGGGCCTCTGCGCCTCCAAGGTCGAGTCCATAATCCTCTCGGTCAGCACCCCACTACCCTGCCAAATGGTTTTCGTACCGCACTTCTCATTCAACTCTTCCGCAGTCATGTCCATGGTAATCGAGCACGCGTCCCGTATGGCGTCCGTGCTAGGAGTAGTGGAAACCATGGAACCATCAACACGAAGCCCAAGAATATGGTACACATCGTGCAGCATGATCGTGATCTCCCTAAATGGCATGTGAAACGTGTTCGTATCTAGCTGCCACTCTCAACAAACACAAAAGTCAACGGCCAGTCAAAACGCCTAAACATGATCCCTGGTAAGTGAGACAAACCACTACCGTCAATCAATTCTAGGTGCTCCTGTGCAAGACGACCTCGCCAGGTAACCAATGCAGAACACAACTGTGTCCTGCTCAAACAGCGCAAAACATTACGCTCCTGCCCGCCCCAAATATATGCAGCCACGTGACCGCCAAAATTAGGGATAACAGTACCATCCTCAAGACCACCTGGCATCGGCTGTTGCACTACCCATGTCTCTGCTGAGCTGGTGGAAGGCTGACTCGCTTGACTGCTACTAATAATCTCCCATGCTGACCCCTATGCACCGTATGATAATCCTGAGGGTCATACTCTTCATCTCGATCAGCCTGACTTGCCCGCTCATCGTCCTCATCGTCAGATGTCGGCACTCCACCCGACGAGTACATGGGGAGGCTCCCTTGCGACTGATGCTCCCCCGACCAAGTACCAGTAGACCCATATTGCTGCTCATGATGATACGGTGCCCCCATATTTACTGAACGACCCAACTCTTTCCTAACAAACGCATTCAAACGTCTTGATATTGCATGACAAGCACCCGAACCCTCAATCTACATTAAATAAGTACAAAATCAAATATCAGTAATAATTACAAATATAACTATGATATTAAAGTTGAACAACTAATATTCAAATTCAAAAAAATAAACAATATTACAATAACAACAGTATTAATAACAATAACAATAATAATGGTAATAATACTAACAACAACAACAATAATAAGAATATTCCCAACAACGATAATAATAATAACAATTATAATAATAGTACTATTTCTACTAATAATAACAGCCCTAATACTAATAACATTACTAATAATAATAATTTTAATCAGTTATTAAAAAAATATTAATCATGAAAAGAAAAATATGTTAAGCACGAAAAATAAAAAAAAAACATTTATCATGAGAAAAAAACAAAATTCCGAATAATCACGAAAAAAAAAATTGTTAACCACGAAAAAAGAAACATACCACTAATCATGAGAAAAAAAAACAAAAAATTCGGAATAATTTTAATCGGTTATTTAAAAAATATTAATCACAACAAATAAAAAAAACATAACATTAATCATGAGAAAAAAATAATAATTAAGCACGAAAAGAAAAAATATTAAGAATAAAATAAAAAAATAAAAAAAAAATTAGAATTCAGGGACATCCGCCTGCAATTTTTGGATCTCCCAAGGAACATCCGGAAATTTCAGGCGGATGTTTTTTTTTTACGAATTAACGAAAAACGCAACAAATTTCAGCCATACCTGCTCGCCGCCTCCCACGCCGCCGCCACGACCGCTGAAAGTGAGCCTTATTCGCCTCCAATCCGCCATTGGATTACCCTCCTTGGATTGGTGGTGGTTGTTGTTCTTTTCCTTTTTTATTTTCTGTTTTTTTTTTCCCAAATTTTCTGTTTTTTTAATTTTTGAAGAGAATTTCAATTTTTAGAGAGAGAAAATTTTAGAGAGAGAAGTACGAGCGTGAAATGTGTTGTAAGTGTCGTGAGTATTTATATACGGGGGGCAAAAACAGAATTTCATGAAAAAAAATGCGAGCGACGGGTTGTAATTTGGGAGCGACGTTTAACAACACCCAAATTCAATGGTGTCAGTAATTTGTGGGAAACTAGTGTTCAACCGTAATATCACAAATTGTGGGAAATTATTGTTCATGATTTCAAAGTACAATTATTTTCATATAGCAATAATATCTCAAACGGTCATATTTTTTAAAAAAACAAAAAACACCAATGGTAATAATTTTTTTTCCTCTATAAAATGAGTATAATTTGTGCATAATTTGACCGACTTTCATTTTTAGCATTTTGTTGTCATTAGTCTATAAATTCCCAAAAAAAATTCTATTCTCACTCATACACTAGTATAATTCTCCATTTTAGTTTTAATATCACTTTCAATTACTTTTCAACATGGATCGTAATAATTCAAATTACGAGAGAAATATGAATTTCCAAAATAATCCAAACTTCCAA